GCGGTTGCGGAGGATTTCATGGTCTATGCCAAGAACTATTGCCAGGATGTAAGTGAACGTTCATATCGATGGTGCCATATAAGTCTCTAATAGCCAAACAGCTGGTCATGCAGAAAGGCCTCCGCAACCAACCGTTTACTGACAGCGTCCTGCGCGAGATGGTCATCGTCTTCCCCAAAGGTGAGAACCCTTTCATGATAAGTATGAGCAGAACTAACTCATGTTCAGATATGGCGGAACTTGCCACAATTCCTGGTATCGATCGGGATAAGGTGAACCGATACGGAGGCCAGATCCTGAAGCTCGTGCGCGACACGCAGCGCCGTTATGCAGAGTTGAAGAAAGAGCAAGATGACGCTGATGGGGTGGTTCCGGATCCTAACCACCACAACGTTATTAACCTTACCAGCACCGAGGACGAGTTCAGCGATGGCGGAATCTTTACTGATCATCCTTCTACCTTCAATGTGGACGAGACTTTGTCCAGTCGCTATTTCTCTACCCAGCACACCGCTGACCTCGACTCTGACGAGGAAGATGAGGGCCCTGGAAAGTCTAGTAGACCCCGCGCTCGGAAGCGTCAAACAACCAAACGCCCTCGCCGTCAAAATGCCGCCCCTAGATCCAGGGCAAAATCGACGGGAGCCCGCAGAAAATCCGGTGATCGTGCTGACAACCGCTCCTCTGCCCCTCGGAAAGCGACCAAAGCGAAACCCTCAACTAGTCGAATAGGGATGATGCCCATCTAATGGCTATCGGAGTGCCGAATACTTCGGCTTTGTGATGAACTTTATGGTATATGCAGTGGCACTTACGGGCGTTGATTCCTTAATGCATGTATAGGCGTTATGCTAATGGGGATATCAAATGCTGGCATGATGACTGTATTAGGCGCTTGGCTTTTTTTTTTTTTGACAGAATATATACAGCCTTCTTTCTTTTCATTATACTCTAATAAGCTATGTAACATACGGCAAATCATCATGCAATCATTAAACCGTCTAATGAGCGTCCAAAATCAATCAGTCTCAACCGTCGCGCATCACGAGGATGAAACTGGGCGACTTTAGCTCTGACCAAAAACCGCGAGGCGGCCGATTCTCGGGGCAGATCGATATAGGAGGATCCTGCCTCCAACAAAGCATCAAGTAGTTTGCGCATCTCCAAAGCTGCAGCCTCTCTGCGATTAGCTGGTTGGTTGTCCCCTTGCCCAGACTGGCGCGGGAGAATCTCGTCGATTCGGCGCTGTCCAGCATCTGGATTTGCTGCCTCTGGATTTTTGGGCTTCTTCGGTTTTCCATGGCTCGTATAGCCTAGTTGCAAGGTCGCATCTGAGACCTGGGCGGCGTCACCCACCGTGGGGCCGCCGAGGGCTTCGGCAGCAAGCATGGACGCGAGGGTTTCGTCCACAAAGTTATAGAGGGCGGTCTTCATCTCCTCTGTTGCTTGGTCAAGCTCTTTCTGCTTTTCTTCTTCTTGCTGCGCTAGTTCACGCGCTAGCTGGGAAGCGGTCTTCTTCTCCTTGGTCGTCTTCTCGCTGCTTATGGTCTGGATCCGCTTTCGCAGACCATCCCGGATCACTTGAGCGTCTCGGAGATTCGCCTCTTCTGATTTCAAACGCTGACGATTGGATGAGAGATTCTCTGCCGTCATGGAGACAGAAACCTTGGTTTCTTTGACTAGACGCGATGTCTCTTCAAGTGCTAGCAAAGAAGGTAGGGGTGAGCCTGCGGCTGGGAACTCGGTCTCTGATTTCAGAAGCGAGTCGTAGGCTCTCTTGGCTCTCTGTACTTGGGCTACGCGCGACCAAGTATCTGTGCCTATTTTGGAGAGATCGAAGGAGTTGACCTCGCGCAGCTGGGCGATGTGTTAGATGTTGGGTTACATGTTTGGGATGTATACGGGGGAGAGTTCTCCAGGGGTGGGTACATACCCTACGCAGGTCATCTTCTTGGCGTTTGACTTGATCTTGAAGTTCTTTTAGAGTCTCGTCCAATCTTCTATTGTACGCCTGTAGAACTGCTGGACTAATTTCTTGGTTCTCGTAGAAGTCCTCGGCGCGTTGACGCTTCTCTGCGAAACGCTGGACTTTGTCGACGGTTTCCTGTGACACGTCCATTGCAAATGGGTTTGAGTAAATTAAATTAATGCACCTCTAATTTTAGTCCTCGCTATGCATCCAGTTGTCTCACAAGCCAACTAAACGAGGGGATTTGTATAGACGAATGAGGGATTGGCAGGTGTTTTGCAGGCCGGGAACACGTGAGGGATGTTCCGGAAAGGGGATAGCGCGGAAAGAGCCAGGATGCGCGACTGAACCTCAACTCAACCTTAACGTCGCTTCTCCCTCTTCGTCCTTCACCGCGACAAGCTTGACTTCCTTCACCCATCCACTTCCCCTCTTATCCCCCTTTTGATCATCGCGCGTTTACTCGCCACCTCTATTTTTGACCTGTCGCCGTCGTCTCATCGACCTCTCGTCTCTCCCACGTCTGCTATTTCAGCGTACTTGGGGTGATCGTGTAGAAGACCCGCCCGTCCTCAACGTCTCTCGACCCACGTCGCGTCTTCCAAAGGCAAGAAAAAGGATAGTTTGGGCGTCGGATACTGCTAAAAAGGCCTCGTTTTACTTCTCGTTTTCTTTTTACTCCTCTCCCTTCCACGCTTCCCTCCGCCTTCCAACCCATTCGGACCCTGAGCACATCTTCGTCCACCGTCCAGCACCCAATCTCTCCTGCCCTCGTGCCCGACCCGATTGGTTTCATTCTTTCCTTCTTCCCTCTACCTTGCACTGCTTCACTCTGAAGCTTTCTCGCTCCAAGTCCAACCTCCAAGGCCTCGTGGCAACCCCAGACCTTTTCACACTTTCCTCGTCGGCTCTCCTTTCACAGCATTACTTCCCGCACTGTGCACGAGTTCACCAATCTTCCCACATCCTTCCAAGCACCAGAATTCCCTCTCCATCCGATCGCCAGCACCAGCAAGTTTTATTGGGAACTCCTGGTGTACATAGTCGATCAAATAAAGCTGCAGTGAAAAGAAAAGAAGAGCTGTTCTGAAAACAAGTGAAATCTCACTTGGACACGTCCTGCGTAAGTGAAGCAAGCACAGAAATACACGCACAGTTTAGGCAAGCAAATCATCATGTCTGCCTCTCCGTCTGCGTTGCAATCGACCAAGCGTCCCTTGGAGGACCCTTCCTCTCCCTCCGGTCCTAATGATCAGCCGGAAGCCAAGCGTCCTGCGTTGGACAAAGTAGTAAAGGGCGATGAGTCCGAGGCGTATGCCGATGTGAAGACGGATGCGCCGGCTGCGACTGCTGATGGCCAGGGCGACACCGTGGTCCCCGATGCTCCTAACTCCAAGGGCGCTCAGGAGACACAACCCATTCAGTCGACGGCCTCTCACGCCGAGTCGACCGGTGCCCAGTCCGAGCAACACCGTCCCCAGGATGAGTCTAGCTGGATTCACATCCGGGCTGTAATCTCCAGCCAGGAGGCTGCCACCGTCATCGGTAAGGGTGGGGAGAACGTATCCCAGATCCGTCGTCTGTCCGGCGCCAAGTGCACCGTCAGCGATTACTCCCGTGGTGCCGTCGAGCGTATCTTGACCGTTAGCGGCCCCCAGGATGCTGCTGCGAAGGTGAGTTTGAACACGATACAGTTCGATTTCTTTTTATGTCTGCTAACCCGGATGCTAGGCCTTCGGTCTTATCATTCGTACCCTGAACAACGAGCCCCTTGATGCCCCTTCTACTGCCCAATCCAAGACATACCCCTTGCGTTTGTTGATTCCCCATATCCTCATTGGCTCGATCATTGGCAAGGGTGGGAGCCGTATTCGAGAGATCCAGGACGCCTCTGGTGCACGTCTCAACGCTTCTGATGCCTGCCTTCCCCTGTCCACTGAACGGTCCCTTGTTATCCTCGGTGTTGCTGACGCAGTGCACATCGCTACTTACTACGTTGCCGTGACTCTCGTCGAGCAGCTGACAGAACGCTTCGGTGGCCCCGCCGCCTCGGCCTATGCCACTCGCAGCGGCGGTCCGGCTGGCGCTGTGCCCGGCGGCATGCAGGTTGTGCCGTACGTGCCTCAGCCCGCTGGTGGACAGTACGGCCATCCCGACACCTTCAAGCGTCACCACCCTCACCCCAACCGTGGCGCAGCTGGCGGATATGGTGTTCCCTACCTCCAGGGCCCCGCCGCGCAAACTCCTGTAGCTCAGCCCTCGATGCCCTACGGTGCTACTCCCCACACCCCGTATGCCGGCGCTGGTCCCCACCAGCCCGCGCCCTACGGTGCGCCTCAGGCGGCCGCCGCACAGGCTCGTGGTGGGCCGACACCTGCCGCGCCCGTCGGCGGTGTCATGCCCGGCCAGCCACTGACTCAGCAGATCTACATCCCCAACGACATGGTTGGCGCCATCATCGGAAAGGGAGGAGCCAAGATCAACGAGATCCGGCACCTGAGTGGCAGTGTTATCAAGATCAACGAGCCCCAAGAGAACAGCAACGAGCGTCTGGTCACGATCACCGGTACCCAGGAGTGCAACCAGATGGCGCTCTACATGCTCTACTCGAGACTTGGTCAGTATCCCTCCATTGCACCCATTCTATTACAAATGGCCTCATTCTAACGATCCCACAGAAAGTGAGAAGCATCGGATCTAGGCTAAGTGAATTCATTCTGTTTCTGTTCCCGCCGACGAATCGGTTTGCTTGCTGTCTTTTTGCTTTGCGACAACGTCCAAAAGTCGTCGTCCGTTCTTATCCCGGTGGCTCTGATGGTTTGGTTTGGGTCTTTCGTCTCTATATTCTTTTGTTTCTTTCGGGGGTCTGCGCGTTTTGCTTTTTTATTTCCCTCAATTTCTTTTGTGTGTACTGTATTTATTTGGAAAAGCGCTGTCCAACTAATAATACCTTTCCCATAACCCCGTCCCCAACCTCCACACTACACATACACATACACAACCTATACACCCTATATATGACCCATTAAAATCACTCCACCTTCTGAAACCTCACATGCCTCATAATCCCAAACCCTCCCTCCCCCTTCTCCACATCCCCTCCATCCCCCTTCAACATCCACTCCCTAATCGGCCCAATCCCCCTCCCAAACGCCTCCGTCCCCTTAATCTCCATATGCGCCTCCACGCTCTCCCACCCCGCCAACACCACCATCCCAAACGCCTCCCCGCTCGGACTATCCCCATGCTTCCGCGTCCCAGGCCGTTCCACCTGCCCCATGACCAACCCTCGAGGCCGTTTCCCTTCCTCGAGATTCTCCACCAGCTCGGTCCGGAACGCCACGAGGCTCTCATGCAGTTTCTTCGTCTCGTCTGCAGACATGGAGGTCGGGAACCACGGCGTGAAGATCTCGGTTACGGGCGAGGCGGATAGATCGTGGGTTTTGTGCGCGGGAGGGGGAGGGGAGAGGGTCGCGTAGAAGGTTGTTAGTGGGGTGGATGGCGCGAGGTAGGGTGTTAGGGAGGGAGTGAGGGTTGGGGAGGTTTGGGCGTCTTTCCAGTCTATTTTATTATTTCATTTCCATGTTAGTTGGGTTGGGATATGTGGTATGTATGGATGTTGCTAATATGTAGAGATATATAGAGAAGTAGAAAGGGAAAGGTATAGAGCTTGTGTCTTTGGGGACACGGGAGGGAAACGCACCAATAACCCAAACAACCACATTCTCATCTTCGATTGAGCGGCCCCAAGAGGACCCTAGGTATCCGTTCTGGTGTTTGGTGTTTTTGAAGAGCTCTAGGAGCGAAGCGCCGGCTTCATTGTTGGTGGGGTCTTCGGGTTTGATGGCGGGGTTGAGGTGGAAGAAGATGAATTCGGTGACGCCGGACATGTTTCTTTCGTTTCTTGGGACGTGGTATTACTCGTTGTAGGGTCAGGTGAGAAGATGATAGAGGGAGTGGTTTGGGGCTTGTGGTGCTGGAGAAGAGGGGACTTATAGTAAGCAGTAGTAGGTAAGCTTGAGCTCGGGGCAAGAAAGTTTAAAATGATAAGAAACAAAGAAAGAGGAGATGGGGTTAACGTCACTGCCGCATGATGTCAGTGGTTGGTTGATTGATTGATGCCTTAGGCAGAATATACGAACTATAACTACAGTAATGTGTGCTATGTAGTATGCAATGGCAGTGAACATCACTCATTAGTTTAAGGATGAATCGGATCTATGTACATAATAACGCTACCAACATCCAATGGCCGGACCCGCTGTTTTTTCATGGTTCAAGAACTCATAGTCAAGGGAAAAACAGAATAGTAATAGAAAGCAGCTAATCCTACAGATCGTCCACTCCGCGCACCTTGGACTTCTTCTCTCCAATTGCCTTCTTCAGACTGCCCACAATATGCTGCCGGCGTTGCCGCTTCGTCTTCCACTGCGCACTCTCCTCCCGGGTGACGAGCTCTCCGACTCCTTCCACCTCACGAAGCCGACTAGCCCGCGCTGAGCCGTTGATGCTTGATCGGAAGCCTCGTGTAGCAGAGTCCGGTGTATGGTATGCGCTGTTGGGTCCGTCAGATCCGGGGGTGGTTGGGAACCGTCCCATGCCCTTTCGCGGGGTTGTGAAGGGTGAGCCTTCCCGGCTGGCTGCTGCCGGGGCCGAGGCGTCGATGCCTAGTTTCTTCAGCTGCATCTCCAGGACGTCAATGTCGCTGCGCTTGCTTTCGGCCATGTTGGTCATCGTAGCAATCGTAGACGTCACAGCTTCCACGGTCGGCCGTCTCATAGCTTGCCGGGAGCCAGTGCCATCGGGACGAGGAGCGTCGGCTATCTTGGCGCGAAGGAGGGACACTGCCGACTCGAGATCCGCCAGCTTGGCCTGGATGTCAGTCGAGGCAGTGCGGAGATCTTGCTGCAGGTTCGCCTGCTCTGCTGAAAGAGGCGCAGAGACGATAGCTGCTGCATCGGTGTGGGCATCCAGAGTCTTCCGGATGCTCGCGCACTGGCCCCGAAGCGTCAGGATATCCTTGCTCAGGAGCTCCTGGCAGGCCTTCAGCTTGTCCTCGACCCCTTGCACCCGCTGCTGTTCGAGAGAGCCGGCAAGCATGACAACAGCATCGTCCAGTTTCTCGATATCGCAGAGCAGTAGCTTCTCGTCAAGGATAGCAGCTGGGTGTTCCTTATTTAATAGCTCGACCCAATCACCACTTTGCGATTGCTTCTGGTACAAAACAAATGAGGCCAGTGATCGAGCATTGATGCCCAGTGTGTCAACCATGGAGTTGATGTCCCGGTATAGTCGTTCGATCTGGCCAGGAATACCAGGCTTGCTGGTCTCTCCGGCATAATCCTGGTGAGGCAGGAAAGGATCCAGCGTCGGAACAGGCTCCAGAGGTCGGGCGAGATCTGCACGGAGCCTCTCGTCCTCATCGTCGTCCGAAAGAGCCTGAGCTTCCTCTTCCATTTGCTTGGCCTTGAGGTCCACGGGAGACTTCTCCTTCTGAGCAACCTGCGGTTTCAGGAGATTTTCACGCTTGACGGCCTCGGTGAGGGAAGCCTTGCGTGCAGCAAGAGTGCTTCCTGGAGCCTGCGCAGCATTGGGCTTCTGGCCCCCGATCTTGAACCGGTTCTTCTGAAGACCACTCCGTACGGGACTGGGCGACCTTGGAGGCTCCCGAGTTTGGAATGTCGGGAACTTTCCAATCTCCCCAAACAAGGACCGCTGTGCCGGGGGCTGAGCGGGTGCAGGTTTAGCAGCTTGCGAGAACAAGCCACCCTTAGTCCCGAACCTGAAGGCACCGTCGGGAGTGGCCTCTGGACTCGCCTCTGCCGACTCTGGTTCGCTGATATCTCGGGAGACTTCTTCACCGCTATCTCCAAAATCAGACTCGTCGCCCTCCTCTTCTTCCTCTTCCGCTTCTTCCTCGCCTTCCTCACTCTCCTCTCTTCCAGACTCATCGGCATCGGATTCGTCAGGTACTGGACCAGGCTCTTCCTGCGATGCTGGTGGCTTCCACGTAGCTGGATCCGGAGGCAACGGCGCCTCTTCAGCTTCAGCCTCGTCCACTTCTTCTTCGTCGTCTTCCTCTTCAGGAAGCTTCTTCGCGAAATCCGGGGGTAAAGGTGGCTCTCCTCCGACATCTGCCGCGGCAGGTTTCGCCTTGACAGTGAAGTCGGGAGGAAGAGGGGCGTCATCAACAGAACTCTTAGACACATTGGACGATGCCGAAGTATCGCCCGGCCCGTACGAAGCCTTGCTGGTGGGGTCAGGGGGGAGAGGGGTTTGGATACTGGAGGCAAGGGGAGTGCGATGGGCGTCTTCAGAAGGCGTCTTAGCTGAGGGTGGTGTAGCAGCTGTTGTCTTTTCAGAGGGGGTAGCCAGCGGGCTTGATGTGGGCTTAGCGGGTGAAGCATTGCCGAACAACGAGAATGGAGACTTGGTGGTAGCCTGGGGCTGGCCGAAAGGATTGGCCGGCTGCTGACCAAAAGGATTGGGAGGCTGCGGCTTGGAGCCGAAAAGGGAGGTCGGTGCAGCGGTCTCGGTCTTGGAGGGCGCTCCGAAAATAGATGGCGCAGGTCCCTTAGATTCAGGCTCTTTGGACTCAGGCTTCTGCGGAGGCGCAGGTTCGTCGTCCATATCATCCATTGACTCGGTTGGTGGACTAGTCTTGTTGCTGCTAGATACCATGTCGTCCATGGATTCGCCAAATGAGAATAGTCCTGAAGGCTTATCTGGCTTAGGCCCATCGTTGACCGCAGTACCGTCGCCCTTGAACGTAGATCCTAACACGAAGCCACTAGAGCTTTGTCCAAAAGCGCTCTTTGTCTCGCCCGAGGTTGGGGGAGGGAACGCAGTGTCAGTTTCGGTCTTAGCACCAAACGGCGACGGCACAGACGATTTCGCAAACGCGCTTTCTCCAGACATTTTTGCGAAGGGTGATTCGGTGGTGGTTTTTGACGCCGCAAAGCCAGCAAACCCTCCTCCAGAAGAGTTTGCGAAGGAGCCAAATCCTCCTCCTGTACTAGTAGTCGAGGCTCCAAACAGACTCTTACCCGGTGTTGACGGTTGTCCAAAACCTGACCCGCCGCCCAGTGCGCCGAAGCCGGACTTACCGAACTGGGGTGATGCAGTTCCCAAGGCACTAGGAGCGCCAAAGGAGGCCCCCGGCTGTGATGGGGTGCCGAAAGAAGGTGTGCCAAACGATGTCTTTCCGAAGGCCGGCGCCTGCTGGCTGGCACCCACAGTGGAAGTACTACCAAATGCCGGTGCAGCTGACGGTTTGCCAAAAGGGGATGCTCCTAGCGGAGATGGGCTGCCGAAAGCTGATTGTCCAAACGCAGGCTGCGCAGGGGGCTGAGGTTGTACTGACTGTGCTTGCGGTGCTGGCTGCTGCTGTTGAGCCTCTGACGCCAGACCGTGGTAAGGGATTTTTTGACGGACTGACTCGTTGTAGACGAACCACCAAGAGGACAGGATACCCTCGTTGTTGAGGAGTAGCAGGTTCGGCAACGGCGTTGAACTCTCAGCAATATCCTCGCCAGCGATCGGAGCCACAACATTCTCAGTGCTCGATAGATCAAAGCCTAAACCGATCACAGAGGTTTCTTCCGTAGAGTCTTTTAGCGGGAGGGAAGCTCTCTTGGTGTCATCGTTCACTTCGGTCGTAACAAAGAGCCCTGTGGTGGCCTTGGCGGCATCATCACTAGCCAGTGGTTGATCCGCTCTCGTGATCAAGCATACGTCGGTCGAAGCGGTGGACGATACAACAAGGACATCCTTCAAATGAGGTTTGTAGTCTCGGAGACGCGCGAGGAACTGGTAGGCAGGGGCGCGCTTGAAGCCAAATGGCATACACAATTCCGGCAATTTCTGGATCAAGAAAGGCGCATTCTTCCTTCTGGTGATGATATAGTAAGGGGAAGATGGTGTCTGGCCCATATCATCCTCCACAGCATTCGATGTGTAGACCATCAAGAAGACGTCATTCTCAAGCCAGGCGATAGAGGACACTGTACAGGTTAGAATTTGGGGAAACTTCAAAGACACGAACGTGGTACGCACCGTGATGGTTATCCTCCAGATCAGGAGGACGCGGAATAATATCCTTCTGAGCACCATCTGGAGCCATTTGGAATCCAGTGCCATCCGCCAGCCCTGCGACGAGCTGCTTGCCCTTGTTACTCCAGCAAACTGTGCTGACACCCGATTTCAACACCTGGCCATTGGGACCCGAGAGCAGGTTTCCGGCTTTCAGATCGGCTATGAGGAGATCGCCCCCGGTTGTGACAAGCGCAACAAGGGATGAGTGCGAGTCGTCCGACTGTGCGGGATTGGGGGCAAGGAAGCGAAAGGTGGCTCCATTCGTTGGGATAGACAAAGCCGGTTGCGCATTCCCTTGCAAGAGACTTGCCGTCTCAAACACCGAGAGCTGTGTACCATTCTCTGTCGCCAGTACTAGGGCGCTATCGCCTGAGGCAAAAGTGATATGCGTGGGCCGAGCGGGGAGAGGAATCGTTGCGCGCGGCTGGAAGGGCTTGGTCTTGACCTTCTCATCTCCTGTGGGTGCGGAAATAGCGGTTCTTATGTCGTTAGAGGAGGCGATATAAAGGGCGTCTGGCCCAGCACCGACAACAACGCCTTTTGTTGCTGCGACAGCGAGAAGGGAGCTCGTAGGGCTAGGAAGGGAATCTTCGGGCCAGGGAGTATTCAGTAATCGAACGTTGCTATCGCTGGACACGCCTTTAAACCCGACTTCCTACATTGATTGTCCATCATGTCAGCTCAAAATCGATTCAAACCCTCAGCGCCATTGCGACATACATCTGCAAAAACATCGGGAAGCTCGGGGCCCAACTCAGCGGCACCCCCAGCGGGGTTGGAAGCTCCAAAGCTGAAAGCCATTCTGAGTCTGTCGAAATCGGCCGAAATTGAACGAGGACGGTCGCCTAGAGATAACCGAGACTTTGGAGCATGGGGAGAAGGTGGACTTTGCGGCGAAGATGAAAAGGAGCGACGCTGGAGTGCTTGAGGACTCCGATTGAAGAGCTTCCAGGTGCGCGCAAAAATCTTGACCACCTCCCCTCAAGGGAAGGAAGTGGGATGAAAGAGACGGGGTTCACAACGACCCTAAGGAAAAGAGAAACAGCAGCACAGTCAATGACTGCCGATAATGCAGGAGTAACGCAACAAGAATGGAGATGGAGTTCGGCGCCAGATTCCCAGCCGGACAAAAACAGCGGAATTGCTCGCCCATTAGCTAATCCGTGACGTGCCTGAGGCCGCCGCGATCAGGCGCCCGGAGCTTCGTCACTCCATCAACTCGCAGCTCCTCCTCCGCCATCTCTCCCCGTCCTGCTATAGCTTCCTGCTCTTCCCCCGTCATCTGTGCCGGTATCTCATCTTTCTTCGTCAATCCTCAGCTTCTCTTCATATCAACTGAGCTTCAATTCTCCCAGCTCCTGCTGTTCCTCGCCCCTCTCCCACTACATCACCTCTCCACGCCGTCACCATGACAGGCTTCGATTTCTCCAACTACAACCGTAACGCGGCGCTCCACGCGAAGGGAGTTCCTCTCCCCAAGGCCACCAGTACCGGTACCACCATTGTGGGATGTATATACGACAATGGCGTTGTGGTATGTACCTACAGAGCAACCCAACAAGCTCCCTAGTACCCAAGTCGACGATCACGAACTCACCACATCTGGCATAACCACAGATTGCAGCAGATACCAGAGCCACCAGCGGCCCGATAGTAGCAGACAAGGTAAACACCCGTTCTCCCTCCTCCCCGAGCACTCACAACCACCCCAACTCAACAAACAACTAACACACATATCCCCACACCTCCAGAACTGCGAGAAACTACACTACATCGCGCCCAAGATCTGGTGCGCGGGAGCCGGAACGGCCGCGGACACCGAGTTCACGACGGCGTTGATCAGCTCGAACATCGAACTGCACTCACTTTCGACGGGCCGGCCCCCACGCGTAATCACCTGCATGACGATGCTGAAGCAGCACCTATTCCGATACCAAGGCCACATCGGCGCCTACCTAGTCGTGGCAGGTGTCGACCCCACCGGCATTGGTCTTTTCACCGTCCACGCCCACGGATCCACCGACAAGCTTCCCTACGTGACCATGGGATCTGGTTCCCTGGCCGCGATGTCCGTGTTCGAGTCGACATGGAAGCCGAACCTGGACCGTGAGGGTGCGATCGCCCTGTGCGCGGAGGCCATCAAGGCTGGTATCTTTAACGATCTGGGATCCGGTAGCAATGTCGATGTTTGTGTCATTGAGAAGGACAAGCCTACGCAGTTGCTGCGCAACTACATCAAGCCTAATGAGCGTGGCGAGAAGGAGCGCAATTACCGCTTCCCTAAGGGTACTACGGCTTATTTGAACCAGAAGATTATCAGCAAGGAGGATATGCGGAAGTATATCTCTGTTGAGGAGGCGTCGGGTGATCCTAACTTGATGGAGGTGGATGTTTAAAGGATGTGTTGTTATTGTTGTTGTAACGACTAGAGCAAAGAAAGGTTCTTATTTACTACTGCTTTTTTGTCGGGCTCGCTTTATCTTATCCTAAATATGGGCCCACACATGAATAATTGCCATGATGATTGTTGGAAATTGAGAACGGTTCGAAAAGTTATACTTGCGTAGAGCTGTAGTTGATACGCCAGAGGCATACAATATTTCCTCTTCAGTTGCTATAATCTACACTAGTAGTATACAGTCCCGGTGTATCAGACCAGGCTAGGTATCTAAAATACACCTCATCGCAACTCTTCGTACTCAGAACAACTCTCCCCTTCTTCCTCCCCAGAAAACCGATGTCCAATCCTCGGCGGCTCCATCAGCGCCTCGACGACATCCGCCCCCTCGACCTCCTCCACAACATCATAGATATACGCATACTGCGTAAGCGAAACACGTAACCCCTCGCGCCGAAAGCGTTCAACGCCCGCATGATACAAAGCACGCGCGATGGCCGGTTTGACAGGCGCATTATGCTTCACCAGGAAGACATACAGCCAATGCACGAGACTGTAGGACCGGCGCGGACTCAAGCGCCTCGAGCACGCGAGTGACACTGCCAGAAGGTGGATCATCTCTAAAGCGGCGTGCGGGTCCGGGCAATCGCTGGTCCTGGGCTCTGGGTAGTAGCGCACGAGGGCTTTTTCTGATGCGTTGGGGATAGGGATCCAAGATTTGGAAAGGGCGATTTTGAGAGGGGTGTGGGAGCGGAGGAGGCGGATGAGTGTCCATACGCTGCGGGAGTCGCCGGTTCGGGCGAGGTCGAGACCGTGGGAGATGAAGTCTGGGGAGGTGATGTCGATTTGGCGGGTCATTGTTTCGAATTTGGAGAAGAAGTGGGGGGTGGTTGCGTTGTAGGCGTCGAGGCTGGCGAAGATGTTGGCGAAGGAGGCGTTGGATGCGGATGTTTCCATGTTGGTTAGGGTGCGTCGGGTGGATTTGGTGAGGGCGTTGCGGGCTTTCAGGTCCACGGCTAGTATGAGGAGGCCGTTGGCTGGTAGCCCAAGGTCATGGATGCCTTTCATTAGGCTGCTTAGCAAGTCTTCGCGGGACTCAGTCTTCCTGACGGACTCGTAGAGGCCGAAGAGGCGTCTTATGGGCACATCAGTGGCTCGTACATTCTTCCTCCATAGAGGCCCGTCGGAAAGGCCTTTGCTGAGAGTGCGTAAAGCCCATATGCGTAAGATGATCTGATGTTGCAGCGGGATATTTGGCTCTGTTACATCGCGCTGCGATCGAACATCAAGCCATGCTTCCGATGAAACAAGTTGCGGGATCTCTTGAGCCTGCAACAAGCAGTCGTGCCACCGGCTAAGCAGGTCTTTCTTGTTCAACGCCAGAAATTCGGTTGTCGATATGACAGCAGCTGTTGCAAGATCCGGCTTGAAACTGCTCAGTATGTCACTCGCGTAGACTTCACCAGCGCCAGCTCGCAGCTTCTTGGGAAGTTCCAGCCAACGCGTGATGAACAACGTAGCCCACGAGCAACATGCCGACTCCAGTCTCTGAGCAGCAACGAGCATGCTCTTCGCCAAGGGCAAGTCCTTGCAGACATCCCTCTCCCATAAAGCGCCAAGCCACGCGTCAATAATCCCCTCGTCGAGATCACCGTGCCCATATATATCACACCGTCCAATTGCATCCCACATCGCCCGGTACATTGCCGTGATCGTATCCGGGGACTGTCTCATCTTCTCACCCTTCGCCGGTACTGTTTTCGCAACAGCCTCTATAACAGCGCAGAGCTCCTCAGGCGGAACAAGCCCAAGCTCCAGAGCCTGAACGAAATTGTCGAAAAGCGGGTGCCGCTTCCCCTGCCTTATTCCACGCGAAGCGATATGCTCGACCGCGGTCAAATAATTCCTCGCTCCGCGGATATTAAGCTGCGGATCATCCAGAAATGACACCAGCTCATCAACAGCCACCTCCCCCCTCCTCGAGCACGACAACAAGTGATCGAATATAAAACGACTATACCCCGGCTCTCGCAAAAGATCAACATCCAATTGCCGAACAACCCTCTTAACAGCCTCGACGGTACGACACTCCCTCAACCGTCTCCTGACATATTGATCGCGCGACACCTCATCAGACCCCTCTGGCGGCATATCCGGCCTCCCAAACTCAAACTCATCACCAACAACGTTACCACCCTCATTATACACTGGCGCAGACGGTGTCGGTATCGGAGGCGGCGGCGGTGACGGCGACGGGGTACTCAATTGATAAAAGTGCGAGCCTACAAACACAATCACCACCGTTAAAATCTTCCACCGACATCAAGCCAACAATTTAGGTCACTCACCCTTCGCCTTCCTCCCCTCCGTCGTGGTCGTCCATTTCATATGCTCCCTCCCATTGCGCCCAAACAAACACGCAATATCATCCAAAGGCCCTGTCCCCGCAATCCCAGCGAGGGCAGTATTCCTCCTCTTAGCGAGTCGTCGCCGAGCCTCCAATGGGCCCGGGACGCGGCTCTCGTAGCGTCGTTGGCCGTTAGCGAAACGTCGGAACGCGGAGGCTAGGAAGTCCTCGCTGATCCAGACGTGATCGAGGAGGTTATTCGATGATGGTGCATGCCTGTAGGCATGTCTGCCGAGAGACATGAGGTAGCGGGGCGCATGCGACGGCGGTGGAGGGAATTGAAGCAATTCGCGATGTCTGGGCCTGTCGGATGTGGTTGATTAGCAAAGGCGGGATTGGATGGATCGAGCTTGGAAGGTTTGGATGGGTGCTGAGTAAGCGGGCTGCCCCGAATTGGGGAACCGTGCTTTTGGGCTTAAGTAGTTACTAGGCTAGTAGCTAGTGGTGATTTGGGAGGTTCGTGCAGTGGTTTGGTTTACAGGTAGTAGAGATTTCCTGAATTTTCTTTTCTTTTATGTTTGTTTGTTTGGGTGAGATAGCCGGATGAGAGGAATATTGTCGTGAGGCTGATTGCTCGTGTTTCTGGTTTATGCTTGTATACTAAATGTCTAAATCACTGGCCTGTTCTATTCTTTGTAGGCCAAACCAAAATCATGCATGATCTGACAGCACATGTGGGTTAATTCATATACTATGTGCAAGAAGAGAAAGCAAAGTAGAGTGTAGGAAAAGAAAGGAGGCCCCTGCACGCCTTCTATGCATATATGATGTTTCTCTGTAGTCGATGGTATCTTATGCCAATGCTCGCCAACACACAAGGAAAACGTAAAGTATAAAGATGAGGACAGGCCCAATGATGATGAAAAATAAAATATGAAGTGAAGGCCAAAAGGGAGGTATGGACGCTAAGGAACGATAATTCGAAAGGAACGTTGTCTGTTTTGTGGTGCTTTTCTTTCGAAGCCGTAAACTTCGTGGTGAAACCTTTCAAGGGCTCCCTCGCTAAGCAGAACGTGGTTTTCTTCCTGTTACCACATAATAGTCCAAATAGGCGTGGACATCACGGTTTTGGATGGATTTTCGAACATCGACCAGGAAGACTTCGATCTCGGGCTTCGACCAACCAAGAATCGTGAGTGGCTTGTAAGACCAACCAGCTGCGGCTTCCAGCAGGTTTGTCTCGTTCCACGAACCAATCGTTCTCAGATGAGAGTCGGTAGACCAAGGGTTCACGGGTACTTTTTGAACCCGTTCCTGAACGTCCTCGAATCCCACTTCTCTCATCCAGCGTGCCAATCGATGGGCCACTCGAAACTGCCGGGGCGGGTCTGAGGCCTGGCCGGCACGATGGTGTAGATCCATAAGGTCTTGAAGGGCATATTCGCTGAATTTATCGGGGTCCTCTTCTGGCATGGTTCCGTCATCGCATTTCGGCTTCGGGTCAAATTCGTCGCACTGAACACTGCCACCAGGTTTGAGATGCTTGAAGACTTTCCGTAACAAATCTTTATATGATGGCAAGGCACCTGAAAGATGACCGGCATGGATGACGTCGAAGTGGTTGGGGCCCCATAGCCATTCGTCCTCTGTAACATCATCGACTAGGAAATGGACGTTCTCGGGGACTTCGTTCGGTTGTACAGGCGAAAGATCGGTCCCTATAATCTCGGCTGCTGGGAATTCAGACGCTGCATGTGGTGGAGACACGATGAGAAACTGTCCGGTAGGATGAGCTGGAAGGGATGGGGGGAAAGGGGATTCCTTTTTTCGCTTACCTAGTTCTATAGGCCATATACCAGAGCCGGTGCCAACATCTAGGATCTTCTTTGGGCTTTGGGGAGAAGCGAAGAGCAGCCGCCCGCGGTTGACCAATTTGAGCATGTGGTGTTGCATGTCCATACGGTCTAGCTCTTGCTCGTCGTTGGGATATAAATATGCTGGGGGGGATAAAAGAAATTCAGTCAGAGACGAGGCTGGCTCCGAGAGTGTCAAAGAGGCCTGCACATACAGCCCTCATGATATTTGTGGTATCGTCTTCCATATTCCATGGGGTAATCCGTTACACTGGCAGTCAAAGACTGCGTGTCACTATTGTCACATTTAGCACTAACACCACCAATAGAAGCGAAGATGCGAGTAACCAAGCAGTTCTTGCACCTCTAGCTCAATTTTCGGGGTATAGTTGGAAGAGTCAGTACTTACTCTTCACGACTAGATCCCTGCGACATGGTGTGTTAGTTATTACTAGAGGGGACGGATCGAAAGAAACAATGTAGACGGCGACCAAGAGCAAAAGCAACGAGTTGGAGAAAGAACCACTACCACCACAACCAACAAAAAAGATTGGTCCTTGTCAGGGTCTCAAGTAGTAGGGAAGAGCTCACAGTTGATCTACCAGTAGGCATTATGCGTACCAGGGGACTTGGGGAAACTGGAGCTTAAGAGGCCAGCGTCTGAGTGGGGGTGGGAATGGTAGTACGTAGGTAGTATCCAGGCCCAGGGCTCGGTAAGGCGACTTAGTCAGTGGATGCTCGACGAGGGTGTAAGTTAAATTGGTTTAAAAATAAAAACGATATCTCATAAGGAAATAGTATGAGAAATTCAATCCCAGCACGGACTTGATGGCCTGAAATTGATAAAAAGAAGGGTTTGTATTTACGGGGAAGTATGCAGAGATGGTAGTAGTAGTAGGTGGTGGCAGAGTATTGTAGAGACAGTCGTGGCGAAGAAGGGTTACAAATTCTCCGTTACTGTACAGGGTGGAGGGAAAGGGCATAGGATTTGAAAAATCTCGGAGATGTCATTCCAAAGTTGGAGAGCATCTGGGCCAGCCATATAGTATTTAAGATTGACAGGTGCTCCTCAGCACTACGGACTCTATAATTGTTGCTGGACAGGGGGGGGGGTCGGTTGACATTTGTGGGTAGGTAGCATTAGAAGTGGGTGGCAGAGGAGGGCCGTCGGCTGTCTTTTCCCAATCTCCTTCCCTGAACCCGACAGGTTGGATTAAGTTTGACTTTAGCAGGATGGGGGAGGGGAGGGAATATACCTAATCCTCCTCAAAGCTAAATAGAAGTAAGAAAATTAGAAAGATACCAGAAACTCTTGGCCCTGACTGGGCCAGACAATTACCATAATTAAGGGGCTTTTTTATTTGCGAGACAGCCATTGTACACCATTGGACAGGGAGAAAAAAGATATTATTTCAGAATAAGAATGATAAAAAAATGATAAAAATGGAGAGAAGAAAAGACAGAAAAACCAAAAAACTAATTAAAAATGAAATGCAAAATCAAAAATAAAGATTGGTAGGCCACAGTAGCTGGCCAGCCCAGTTAGGGTAGTACACTATCCCTATCTACTTGCAGTAAGACTTTTCGGTCCTTAGGCGGCGGTTTCTACTGTATAGTAATAAATACTCGCTATAAGGTACTGGGTACTAGGGGATCGGGGGGTACCCACGGGCGCGAAGGGGGGAAAACAATCAAAATTAATAGACTAAGAGAGGTGGAATACTCCAACTTTGCACCCAAACTACTACTCGTGTGAACCGAGTGGGTGGTTCTGTTCGGGTGGTGGGAATCCCAAGCCCATCCAATGTCTGATCCTAATCTTTTTTGACTTACTTGGGAACACTTGGACACTATACCTACCTCGTCCACACCTACCTAACTGGCTGGCCCAATGTCCGCAAAGCTGGGCTTCCCGCATGTTGCTTGCTGCATGTAGTCCATGTATGTAGGTGCTTAATTTCCCGTTTGTCTCTGCATTGTTGCCTTCCGATACGAAGTACGGTGGACGCAGGAAGACGCAAGTAGGTCATGCTAGTGGTGGCCATTCTTCCTGCCGAGCGTCACCGAGAAAAAGCCCCCCCTCAATTAACTTTTCTTGTCTCCAACACAAAGCTAATCAAATTCATTTTGACCCCCTTCGGAAAGTTCTCTCTTCTTCTACAGCTTCCGCTCGGAAACAACGGGTACTACCGCAGACGAATGGCCCTCCGATCCTTTGGGTTCCCGGCAGGGGTTCCATGATCACCTGAACCTGAAGCGACTTGAGGATCGTCTCCCATTCCTTCAGGTCGGAGTTGACCGTGGTTTCAAATTAGGTAGCCTCTTTTTTTTCTCAGTATGAGGGGAAGACATACACTAGCGTTCAATTATTGCGGCCAGGCCGGGGGAGATTGACAACGCATTCAGCAGTAGGTCATTAAGATCTGCCTAATTTTTTTCCCTCCGGCCCGTCTTATTTCTTCCTTTTTCTGCTTTTTATAATGGCCCCTCCCGCTGGGTATTGGTGCCAGGTTACTGGGTAGCTGCCGGACTAATCAGAATCCATAGCGACAGGAATAAAGGGAGAAAAAAGGAAAAGGGTAAGGAAAAAAGCACGGGCGTCCCAGGCTGCCGGGAGCAGCCAGCGACGGGGGGCGAAACACTATTACTAAATTGATAGTCCTGTGCATATCGGACTAAAAGACGCTCGCTAATCAGGGGCCCAGATGGTCGAGATGGTAAAGGTCGGTTAATAACTTAATGTTGGTCGGCATATCCAGGGTGGCGGCCCGAATGGTCCGGACATTTTCTTCGAGAAAAGCATTTGGAATCCTGACATGTCTCACAGATTGCTGTAGCTGCTGCCTTTCTTCCCCAGTGAAGAAGACGAAGATGAAGGGGAATTGCATGATTTCCGTGCAACAAGGTGCAAGAGTAAGACTTCCACGGTACCTCCGGGATGGAACAGTGATACATCATCCAAGAGGGGAAGCAGATTGGGTGATCTTCAACCGAAATTGGGATCCAATGGTTGTTGGTGCCGCACCGCCGGAAAGTCGCATCCATGGACTACGACCCCAATATCCGACTGGGCTGAATTTAGACGGGTGTTGCGGCGCATGCATTTGCATGATCCTAGTACACAGTAAGATAAGCCTGCGTAATTTATCTTTGACTCTAGGAGTTAAATAGACTAACTGGCAGACAGCCAGTTAAGGATGCATGTCTCAGCATTTTCCCGGCCTTTTTCGGCCATGGATTTCAGTTCATCCCACCAGCTCTGTGGCTCTGGGATGAGAAATAACGAAAAGGGAAAAAATAGAAAAAGGGAAAAAAGGGAAGAAAAAGAGAAGCGATAATCAATCAAGAGCAGACGGAGGTACCGCAGTATCCAGTCTGTCGGGATACTTTTGACCCACCTTTTCGTCGGCGGAATTTCCCCTCCACTTTTGTCCCACTCGACCTCGACAGCTTCTGGTTGCTCCCCTTGGTTTGATTCCAAATTCATGAGGCCCACACTCCACTTCCAGCGATGCCGGGAAGCTCCCGTCTCTGAAGGGTGAAAGTTTCTTGTTGAGTCAAATGTCCCTTCTTTGGGAATATTGGCAGGTGTGTGTACTGTACTGTATATTGTAGATGTTTGGTGTAGTTACAGCAAGCAAAATCTCCAATTAGTTAGTAGCTCCAGGCCTGACCACATAGTAGCATAATCAAGCAACTCACCCGAACAATTGTTGTCACATGGTCACTCCGCATAGGGAAACCGGTTCTTCAACCACCGACAAGTATGAACGATGATGCAAACTAAGCTTGGACTGCAGTCACCACTTTCCATCCCAACTCATTCCCGGCTTTCGTACCCAAAGGAGGGATGAATACCCCTCCTCAACATCGTACGACAGTCGCAGATGTCTCATTGTTAATTTGAAATTGGTCGCTTGCACGGGTTTGACTCTGACTGGATCGTCGCCCCGCAGAAGCATTGTTGGTCGCGAGATTCCTGCTTAGCTACTAGCCTGACGAAGGTAATAATCGAAATATATTGGGCAAATGCCAAATGGTCCTAACAATCCCGAGAACATACTAGTCTATCGGTAGCTTAGCATGGTAGTCCCTTCCAAGAGAGTGCATTGTCTGCAGTTGGACTGATTCCGCCCACTTCGGTGTCGGAAAGGATTCCCATCATTCAAGTTTACCTGCATGCCATACTTGAAGGTACTAGTCGATCAAGACTCGGCGCAGTTGAACGTTTCCATCATTCCTGCGATAACTTCAGGTACCTCAGCTCAAGCTGGAATATGTATGATGAAAGTTGAAATTTGATCCTCTCCGCCATCCGAGATTGGCATAGACTTGGTGTTGTAGGAAAGGAAGTGAAATACCAACTTCGTGCCTGGCATTCGATGAATTGTAAAGTCTCTGTTCAGCGCTCACACTCATCTGGGCAATCTTACGGATACGGAAGGACTACTTAGATGACTTGCCTCCCGGGTAATCTGGGTAGGAAATGATACGTGTATGGTATCAAGAGCTGGCCTTCCGTCGGGATCTTAGAAATGACCATAAACAATGCTCTTCTCATCAATTGCCGGCCAAATTTTAGAAGTCCAAGCCATCACGCACCTCTCCACCCAGTCGCTATTGCAAGAGAAGTGCCTGACTGGTACCTTGATGGATTTTTTGCCGGGTCATACATGAGATGATCGCCCTGTTCTTACAATACCGCTGGTGTCAGGGTAATACTTCGCTTTCCTCCCCGTCGAATAATCAGTTCACGTCAAACGAAGCCAGCATAGGAATGTCCCTCCATCGCCAATATCAGCTTTGCGGTCGTGTATACATGGAGCAGGGTTTACAGTGCCGAACTTATCGTGCGATGCCATGTTTAATTTATTTAGGTTTTTCTTGAATGATGTCGTTGAAGCCCATCATACCATCACACTCACGATGGCCTCTCGCTTTCCCTGGTCTGAGAAGCGTAATGCTGGGAAAATCTTGAGCTCAGCAGTGATGTGTCCTTTTTAATTTTCTTGCACATAGGGATCTGTTTTCTTCAGATCCCGCGCTGCATGATGCATATTCCCATTGATACGAGCAAACAGGAGACAAGTGTCCCCAGTAATCATTCGCTAGTCTGGGTTTGCATGTCCCACCCGCAGGAAAGGATAGCGAGTCATCTTGAGTCCCTGCTGCTCGGAGATTGGGTGATTTGTCCCAGTTTTTCGGAATAGCGCTATTCAATGTTATACCTCGTATATTATACATTAGGTAAAGAACCCTGTTGACCCATTACAGGGATTTCAGTGGAATGGATGATGGAGCCGAGCGAAACGGAAGACTATCGGAGAGGCCGATGGAGGCCGTCCAAAAGAGATACCTAGAGGTTTAGCCTAGCGGGGTGGAAGGGAGGCAAGAGGGGGGGCCACCATCGAAGAAAAGGAAGGACTCCAAGTGAGACTAAGCCTGCTCCGATCATTTGGGGGTCGAGCTTTTTAGCGGAGGCGCGGACTTTGCTAAATGAAAAAAGAAAAAGAAAAAAAAGCCCCATCTCCTGGAGTGGCAGGACCAGGCCGTCTCACTTCCATACACTAGAGGACGTAAGAGCCTAGCAAGTGCCACTCACTAATTCTCAGAGGAGAATAGTGACGGCTGGGCTACTGCATGCTGAGATTGTCCGTCAATCACCATGGTGGACTATCAGACTGATCACTCCAACGGCTTTTTCGATCCCTGTCACTGGAGTGGCTCCCTTCTCTTACCAAGCCAAGTCAGATCTGCTACCTAAGTAAGTAATTGCTATCACCGTGATTGCTCTGGCTCAAGACCCGGCGTTGTCCGGCTCTTCTTGAGTACTACTGCCAGCTAGTAGCTCTGTCTCCGTGGTCGCTGGCCTTGTTTAGCCCTTGCAGCCGACCCTCCTTCCATCCTTCAAATGACCTTGACAACCGAGCCGGTGCCGAAAATAAATTCAAGATAGCAGCTAGTCTGGAACGACCTTCCCCAATTCCTCCCAACTAGTAGCTAGCATGCGTCCTACTACTAGATTCCACTGGGTGAGATCTCGGCTTACTTGTGGTCTTTCACATTATTGACCGGTGCAAATGTCTGAAGGTCTACGGCACCTCTAACTTTCAGACTATGGAATTACTGCTGTAACAGTTTAGTGGACTATCACGTATCCATCCTACATTACTGCTACTGTCTTTGTAGCGGTGTATGGACGGCGGTGGGGACCCCAAAATGGTGGTGATGATACTTCAGTCAAGGAATTTTTCAAATGGCATGACGACGACAAATCCAAAATGTTATTGTGGGTTGTTACCCAGAACAAAGCTTAGCAACAGCAACGGTCTATGTAGGTACAACAGGTACAACAGGATCACAGAGTGCGACAGTGTCAGGATCGCGGTGTGCTTTGCAATGAGCTCCCAAGTGACGCGAGACAAAAGGGATCCCAAACGGGGCTGCGGCGCGCATGCCCCGTAGCTCGGGTGGGCATGGTTTACGCATTCTTGGCTCTGATAGGGGAAGACTCGTCTGCGCCAGGTAAGAACGAGGAAGAGAACGACATGCCAAGTCCTGCGAGCTTCCTAGACTAGATCCCCATAATTACTGGTTTCTGATGTCCTCGACACCCTCAAGGACGCTCTCACCCGCCACAAGGCGTCGACAGGGCGGACTTCCGCATGCGGATACTTTCCCTTCATGTATACCCAATTATACTCCCCCGTTCCCACCAGATCCTCCGTTTCACCCAGCTACAGTCGGGTCATTGTTCATTCAACGCCTCCGTAACTGTCTCGCTCTTTAACCAAAAGGGTATTCTGCTGCTTTCTTCTAGGCTATACCATGTTTCCGAGGAGGCGACATTCCCGCGCTAAGCTGGGAATTACTTGCATGCCTGGCAATAAGTGGTTGTAACCATGTCACGGCGCTCCCAGCGTACTGGATCTGGGACTCACCAAGGCGACCATGCAGAAGATAACGCCTTGGTCTCTTGTTTTAGTCTCCGGATCTCAAAGCAGGCCGGACATTTTCTGCCCCGTACCCAGTCAAAAAATGAGCCTGGGATGGAGCATCCCTACCCTCTCTATTGATGAGCATCACAGATACCGTTTCGTGCTGGGTGCATTAATGAACTAACCAACCAGGTTCCATGGAAAGGCCCTCCTTTCCTATCACTGCAGCGTTAAAGAGATTCCTGCCGTCCTCGAATCAGGTCTCTGCACGCATTAGCGGAGATCTTCACTACGTTTTACAGTCCCGAATACTCCGTAGTACTGCGGTCCAAGACCGGCAAGGCATGTCCTAGGTACAAGCTGCATGACGATGCTAACACACCGCTGTGGAGATTTGGTTTTAGTTGACTGCATGTGCCTTTGCCTAAAGCAAAAAGCAATGATGTTACATTGCAGATAGCTTGCATGATGGATCCTGGCAAGTATAGGCTGGGATAGTAAGAGCCAACTTAGTGGAATTCCTTCATCTCGAGTCCTTGTGGACGGTAAGAGGGGATGGGATGGTGTGCTGGCCTGGCGGACGATCTGTTTCGGGCCAGCTCAGCTCGTGCCATGCTCCCTGAATAGTAGTATCTACTAGCACTATGGGCCGTCAATACCAAACGATGAACGAATCATCAGCTTGCTTTTTAGCGTCCAGGATTCAGATTGCTTTTCTTGGGACATGATCGGGTGCATTAGCCAGCTGTCTCGCGCATGACAGACAGGACCCAAGGCCGTGGTCGTGTCATCGTTGCAGAGGCCAAAGGTTAAGACTTTGGGGGGGAGGGGGGAAGGAGAGACCTTTTTGGACCGGAGAGTTTGGTTTCGGGCGTCCGGGATTACTATCCCCAGCAGCCATTCATGCCCGGACATCTTTAAGAAATTGAACGCTTACGCTGCAGATCTTGCCTCCCCCAGGCATATGAAGACCAGTGTAAGAGAAGTCTCTATCTGGATGGTAAAATCCTTCCTTCTTGACAGCGTTCTGTCATCATGGTAAATTCTTCCTGCTGCGTACTTTTGTTTTGGTCTCCTACGTACAGTCGAAAAGGGCCAGCTCAAAACTCTCACCATGCTTCATTTCTATAATACAATACTATTTTTTTCAGCCTTGGATCTCCGAGTCCTTGGGCTCAATACCACCAACCTTCCTCTATTCTGCATATATACAAAGTACACCTCCTCATGGGGATAGTAGCATCAGGGCAATGGGTGGCTCCATTATTCTGGGTGGACTGGTTGGAGGACGAGAGACGGCACTAAGTAAGCAACAGATTGAACTCCAGCGTCGCCCAGGCGTCGAATCGCAGCGAGTCCCGAACAGGCAAGAGGCATGACTGGCCAGCAAGTCATGTATTTGTCCCCATTTTCCCAATCCCCAATTCCCAATCCCCAATTCCCAATTTCCACCTCTTTTCCAGCCATGGAAGGATCCGCCAGATGAACTTCTCCACCCCCAAACTCATCCTTCATTTGATGCGCTCGTCCAGGCTAAGCCCCGTCCTGGCAACCGTGCCTTATCCCTGGCTTTCTTCGTCCATGGCCCTGGGACGGCTATCTATTCATCTCTCTCTGCCAACGAGATCTGTCTGTCCCTTCCCCAAGATCTATCGTGGCTGGGCCCTCTTTCATCCTCTCTGTTCTCAACGCCTCCCAGAGAGTTGTGGCTGACCAACAACACCCATCTTGTGAAGTCGATATGCGTGGCTGCATGCCTCCCACTTTGCCAGGCAACAAATTCCCCTCCTCCCGTATCCACCGGGATGCAGGAGCTCCCAGCTAGTTGCATTTGGTTTTCCTGCCGATTACCGCAGGAATCTTGCTCTGATGTTCGGGGAACCTCGGGTTAGATGATACTAACGCAAGAAAAAGGCTCACTTCGACCATGTGAATGAATCCAGACTCAATTTACCCCGCCATCATCGCGATGATAGGACACCTGCCTGTGGCCGGTACGCTCTAAAATAGATCTAGCGAATGCCGCTAATACGCGGTCTGCATCTTAATACGCACGCCCGAACTTGATCGTTCTCACCGGAGCACGACGATGAGATGCACCTCTCACTGTAGTGCAGTGGGCCAAAACGGTGATGGGCAAGGACACACAGCAGGAGACGCTGTCACAGGTTAATTAGCCTCCCCCCTCTTGCGTCTCGTTCACTTTCCTCCTCCGTCGATCCCACAGGAGCGGCATCCTGGTCTATGATCAGTTGGGCTCTCGGACCATAACAGGGATCCTAGGATACATACAAGGTTTCTGGGACAGAGTCGTCCAGTTCATTACATACCTTTAAGTATCTCCTCGCTAGAACAAATTGGGGGAGCGGGGGTGGCTACATATCAACAATTGAGTATGGTGCTAGTCAGGTGTGGATTTGAGGAGTTTCTGTAAACAACGTTCATCATTCACTTGGCATCCTAGATTACTGACTTGTACCGAAACTTAGGCTTACAAAACACAACAAGACACACATCTTCCTATAAGCGCCCAAACGGTTGGCTCACGGCCATCTCAAGTCGCGAGAGCCCTCTGCACAGAGGCTATATTGGCCTCCATAGGCTGCACCTTGTCGGTCCTATACACTAGTGTGAGATAACAGTCAGGGAAGTGGGTAAAACTCCAAGGACCAAACCCACCTAGTCGTGATGCGAATATCCGTCTGAATCCTAGCGATCCCTTCTTGGTGGATCAGCGTATGGGCGTACCCGATGATTTGGGATACCTGATCCCAGGATCCCTCTTTAAGCCAAATATATTAGCTTTGCAGTAGCAAACGTGGGATGGCATATGATCCCCGAATCAGAACGCTACATGGAAGGCCGTACATCGCGCTCCATGCAGAGTTTGGGCCCATATACGAGAATTTCGATCCAACATCAAGGGGATTTGAATGAGCGGAAACATACCAACAATAGTTCCAGTGGCGTGCATCTGAAACTTGAGACCAGAGTTCTGCATCAGACGCTGGATATCCGCGACCTGCTTCGAGAAAGATGCGCTTTGAGAGCCGATCTAAGCCACGGGTGTTAGAGCTTGGTATCGACCGATCCATGTTCTGCCTTCGTTAAGCTAACTAGAACACAAGGTGACAACATACTGGAATAAGAGAGAAGTCTGCAGTGCAGTTCTCTGGAGTCTTCAAGGTAGCCATTTGGACGATGCTTGTTACGATACCTGGCTGTAGCAATTACGCGTCGTTGTCTGGTTAGGGTCTACTAGCTACAAACTCCCTAAGTGCCGCATGCCCTTTATTTACTATGTGAGACGTTGCTAATCATGATGACGTTCAATTAGACTAGAACTATACCGAACTATGTTATGCGAGGCACATGCCTATGAGCTCACTACTATGAAAGCGCAACACTCCCTCGAGATTAGAGTTTCGGTGGCTTCACCTTATCAGCCCAGGTAGTATGTCTCATCAACGGTTCTCCCGCGCCGCTGGGCTGGCTCGCTCCCACGAACATAAACATCCTCGAACAATACATCCGAAGTTAAGGGTGGTTCTGCCATCTTCTCCGCTTCTTGAGCTTCACGGTCAACTTTGCGTCGGATCTCCTTATCCATCGTCTTCGCCTCATCGTCGCTGAACACGCCCCATTCAATCAACTTTTCTCGATAAGTCGTGATGGGATCATGCGCCCGCTCGGCCTGCACCTCGTCTTTGGTCCGGTACGCTGTCCCCGGATCAGATACCGAGTGTCCCGCATACCGGTATGTTTGGAATTCATACAGCAAAGGTCCGTTCCCGCCCAACACGTAGTCTTTGCCGTACTTCATTGCTGCTATCACCGCCAGAACGTCCATTCCGTTGATGCGGAGACCTGGAATGTAGTATCCCCGTTTGTAGTATTCGGTCATGGCGGAAGCGCGCTCCACGGATGTGCCCATTCCGTATTTATTGTCTGCAACAACACACAAGATTAGAAAATGAGGTCCGGGGTGATCCAACACAACACAAGAACAACCATGAAAATCAATAAAGATAAAGAATATCATGCGAACTCACTCTCACAACCAAAAATAACCGGCAACTCCCACAACTTAGCCATGTTATACGCCTCATGTACCTGACCCTGATTCGCAGCCCCATCCCCATAAAGATTCACCGTCACCTTCTTAGTATCATCATACTGCTGCGCGAACGCAATCCCCGTCCCAAGGGGCACATTCGACCCCACAATGCCATTCCCACCAAAGAAATTCTTAGTGAACATATGCACCGAACCACCCTTCCCATGACAAATACCGTCTCGACGACCAAGTAGCTCTCCAATGATAGATTTGACACTCCCACCCCGCATCAACGTGAATCCGTGGGCGCGGTACGCAGTAATAACCTTATCTTCGGGGCTGATGCCGTGTTCCACCCCCACCGCGACGGCCTCTTGGCCTGTGGAGAGGTGGCAAAAGCCACGGACCTTCTGTTCCTTGTATAACTTGTCGGCTGCAAGTTCCAGGCGTCTGGGAAAGTTAATTTGGGGGTCCAGAACGATTGTTATTGGAAGGGAGGGGAGGGGGAATGAGAGAGAGACCTTATTAGCGACATGTCATGGTAGAGTTGTTTAAGTTGGCCTTTGGTGGTTTCTAGGCTGTAGGGAGGTGGATCAAGGTTGTATGTTTCGAAGCTGTCGTCTGCTATGGGGACACTGAAGGGTTTGGTATCCTCCTATAGGGGAGGGGTTAGTTCTGTTGTATCCTGGCATAGGGGTGAACTGGGCATGGGGCTGAGCAACGCACTGTAGGGAGATCTGAGATGTTCGAGACATGGGCCATGCACCGCCGGTATGGCAGGCCTGGACGTGTCCAGCGGAGAGGTCCCTTGGGTTTCAAGGATCTCGTGAGCATGGTTCCTGTGATCTGGCGCTCGTGGTGGCGGAGTGTGTGAGGCGTGCGCTCTTCGGCGGGCTTTCTGGGAGGAGGGAATGGGGTTGAATTCAACTGGAGATTCTTGATGAGTAGAGGTTAGTAGAGGTTATCCTGCCACCGCTGATAGTGCTTGTAAGAATGGAAGAGTTCATCATTCTAGATAGGTGGATGGGTTGGTGCACCCCCGAGTCCTTGTAGTGACGCAATACTGAACTCAATCGGTAGCATGGGTAAGTTGAACAAGCATGGATGGCTGGTCTGCCAATGAGAGTCGGCCATTATGTGTCAAATGGCCAAGCTGCATTCACGGTTCCTTTTCCTGCTCTTCCGCTGGTTCGTTCCCCTATTGTTCTGGCTCTCTGTTTAGCTGAGATTTGGTTGCTATGCAGTCTCTGCTAGTAGCGCAGCAAAATCATGGGCTTTAGGGCTGGTACAGGCCGGGTAGGCCATGGTAGCTGGTTGGTATCTTTTCGATATTAATAGAGGGCTTCTCGGGTCCTGTTGAACGACAACAGAAGGAAATTTCAAATCCGTCAGAAACCGCGTGCGAAGTATAAACCAGAAAGTAATATGGCGGAGTATGAGCAACAGCCATGTTGTTGCCTTGTTGCCTGAACGCACGGACCAGGCGATGGCGGGCTTGACGCGTGACGCGAATTGGCTGACTGAGGAATCAATCCATTAACGCGGTCCGCATTGATC